AAGCAAAGAAAGACATTAGCATGTCAGGAGGCACTAGGACCAAAGGGGAAACTATGATTAATGAGAGGAGAGAGGGAGTGAAGAAGGAAACCAGTGATGGAGCTTCCTCTACTTTCAACTCTATTCCCCAAAAAATACCTTTCCTCATACATTCATTGATCTCCTTCCCCCCTCAAAAAAGGGGCAGAGTCGCCCTTGGGTTTGGGGGTGGCTGATTTGATTAACGCTTCCCACTTCTCACCCTATTAGGCCGCTGCCACATAGATCCGACAACCTGCGATTCGAACGGATGCACTATATTTGTTGTTCCATTACACATTACCAGACTGCATGCAAACTGTGGATTGCAAATTCCTGATTTGATCAGTGTGATCATTGTAAGATGAAAACTGATGGGTATGTTCTCATCCTTGAGGCATTTGAGGGGAACATTGTTGAGCATCTTGGCACAGAGAGTTATCGTGAAGGCATGATTGTTGTGTGAGTGAAACCCAAACCAGCTAATTTATTATTTAGTAAGGTTTCTGGGTTGCTGTTTCTTCAGTGTTCAGGAAAGTCTGTTTTTTTTTATATGGTGAGGTAAGTAACTTCTGGGGCCTGTTTCTTGCCTATGTGAAATGCAGTTTTGCAAGAAATTTTTTACCTTTTTTAATTTTGAAATTTTCAGTCGACACAAAGAATCACAAAGCATTTTTCTGCATGGGTGAATGATATGTATATATATAATTTGTTTCATATCATGAAATATAAATTTAAACAGCCAAATTTAAAGATTTCACTAAATTAAGTCTCTGAAATTTTATTGTTATGCTGTATATGCTTAGTCTTAATCTCATTTCAAAGCAATATTAAGAGCAGCCAAATATGTTTCCTGATGCTATTGAAATGTCTATTGAAGTTTCAAGGAAGATTCTCAAAGGGAACATCTCTTTCTTCTTGGGGCCGAAGTTTATACTTATACTAAACTTCATTTGCAAACAGTTTTTTTTTCAGTCTGTTCTGACCCAGTCTAAATACTGTGAAGTGAAGGAGAAAAATGTTAAGTATGAAAAGCTTTCTCAGGAATGTTACCAAGAACATGATAGTGTTGAGACTGCCCGAGGATTCTTGCATCTGGCTAGCCATGCTGTACAGTTATTTTATTTCTGTGATTTTGAGTTCATGGTCATATATCTCAGTCAATGTTTGATTCATAAATTTTTTCCTCTTAATTTTGACATATTACTCAGCATTTTGACCAGGTCAGTGGATTTTGAATATTTGCCTCCCCTTTTTGTGCAAAGTTTTAACATAGGGCTTAATTATTATAGCTTGGGCCAGGACAAGACTTCCCTTTTTGACTGCTTTTAGTTTATGTTAAGGTAAAATTTATTGCAAAAATGAGAAACAGACCCCCATTACTTTTCACTCTGCTTTTAATTCAGATTTAACTAAGATGAGAACAGACTCCTGGGATGAGACAATCTGTTTCTGCAGTTGGGTATTTCAAACTCTCACTTTCTGCTTCTTCATTTCTCAGTAGTTTTCCTTGTTGCTCCAAACTGCCTTGCATTCTTGTCATGCTGCTCAATTCTTCCATCATTTACTTCTATATTCATATCTTGATTTTTTGCTTGTCAGTTATTGTCTAGGGCATCCAAAAAGCCCTTCACCTATTCTTGATTTTGTCCTCTTTTTAGGGGAATAAAGTTCTGAGGGAAATAAAACTGCTTTCAGGATTTTTTAAATTCTTTCTGTTGAAGGCAGAGTCCCTTGTTGTATACATTCCTCTTCTGAGAAGAAGTAAGACTTGCTGCAAAAACCACTGCTGGTGTACTTCTCAGCATGGAAGTAGCTATTGTTTGGATACTTTTCCCTCCAGGTGACTTTTTTGTTGGATGTGTTATACCTTCTGAATTTTGTGTTAAAACCAAGAATGTAGATTTGTGGCCCTCCTGGAATCTTGTTGGTATGGCAACATGTTGGTGAACATGTTGATTGGGCTGAAATATCTATTAGTAACTGACATATGATATACAAGTCTAAGTCATTGACTTCGCCAACATTCCATTGTATTTCTGAGATTAAATGCCCATAATGAAAGTATTGCCAATAGATTCTTATATTTATATCATAGTGATATTGTTGATGAAGTGGGGGAAGTATGCTGTCATCATCCAAGATATACATGAAAGCATAAGAAGTCAGAAGAAATCTTTTCTGACTGGTTATCAAATAATGTGTGGGAGTTGACTGTTTGGTGAAATGACATCACTGCTCAACTTAAATACTTAATAATGCTCAACTTAAATCTAGCTTCATTATTGAGGTCTTCATCCCTTACCAAAGTCAGCTTCAGTTTTCCCTCATGATCCTTATTTTAGCCTCATATGCTTTCAAAATTTGGTATAGTTAAGTGTCTTGAACTGCTGCTACAGTCTGCATGTAAATTTTACTCATTTTTTGCCACACATGTTAAGGTCTGAAGCTCTTTCCTGCCATTTTATTTTGCCCCTTTTATTGCCTGCTTATCTCTCTGCCAAGCACAGTCATCATTCCTAGGACACTATCGCTTCTGCATACATCCTGTCAAAATCATCCTGATAGCACTTCCTGGGAATGTTTTTTGTACTTGACCACACCATTCTCTTGCCTCATAGATTAGCCAAACTCCTCTCTGACTTGGTGAATGCACTTTGTGACACAAAAGTGAGCATCATCCATTCTTTTCCTTTGCGTTACATCAGCGCTTCCCAGACTTCTTTGAATCGCGACCCACCGGAATCCAGAACGAGGTATTTTCAAAGTAATCATGACGTGAAGAAAACCGATCGACCTTTTCTGCAGGGCATGCTTTATCCTGAGCGGATGTGGATATAGTGATTCTTTTCTACTTGGAAAATGTACGCGACCCACAGTTTGGGAACAGCTGCATTACATTGTTGAATCTAATTTTTGTATCCTTACAACTTCAGCATTGAAATAAGCAAAGAAAATTGACTTGCGTCAAGGCTATGAGATTTGGGGTTGTTTCTTTCTGAAAGTAACCTGAGTTAATCAGGTTAGAGCAAACCTGGAAATTTCGCAACGCTCGTCAATTTGGGGGTTAATTCCTCCGCCCATCTCCGTGGCCTTGTCCCGTTCCTTTGGGAGATTCCCAATCCCGCCATGGCATTTTCAAGGCAGGTTGCATTTACGTTTTTTTAAATTTATTTAAGAACCAAAAAGAAAATATCAATGAGATGCGAAATCAGAATTTTTTACATTCTCCTTTCGTTTTTCATTTGCCATTTCGTTTGCCGCCAAACCACAGAAATCTGAGCTTTTTTGTTGGTGTGGGGGACTAGGCAGTATCGTGGACGAAGTGTTTCGGTCTTTCTAGTGGTCTCCCTCGCCTCCACCCAAGAACAATGCAATGCGATGGCCTGTCAAAATAGTCTACAATATATTCTCAAATCCAAAATGTATTTCACTCTCGCTATGAGCAATTGTAGATGTACTGGATTGTGTGACGAAGTTTGGCCTCAATTGCCGTCTGTAATGGGGCATTCTTTTGCGGAGGATGGGAGTGAACATACAGTTGCAGAGGTATGTAATTCTAACGGGACTGCAGGAGAACTGGAGATTCGCCAAAAATCTAGTCTTCTGCGCCATTAAATACGTTTTATCGCGCAAAAACGCTATTTTTAGCTCTATTAAAGCTCCGCAGTGATTATTTCTCCCACTCAATTTCCAGGCGTCCATCTTCAATCAAATCATAGCGTTAATGTGGCGGTGAACATTCAGAAGACTGAATGAGATGATGTGGAGGTAACAATATCCTCGAACAAACCCTCATGCACAGAGGAATAAAGGCTTTTAAAATCGGGGAATCCCCAGAAGGGGATGCAAAACATGCCGGGAATGTGCCGAGGAGAGTTGGTGAGGAAGGGGAAGGAAGTTGCTGCCATGTATATTGTCAGATGCGCCTTTCCCCACGTTTGTGTGAAGATATCGTCTCGTTCACATAGATGCTTCCGGCACCCGTCGAACTATCTAGCCAGCATTGAACAGTTATGATTCTAATCTTTGCGGAATTCCCAGTTATGCCCTATACGCCAAATCCTATTTGCTACGTGACATAATAAGCCTAACAATTTAAACGTACGAGTTTTATGTTCCCAGTCAAGGAGGGGTGCTTATTTTCTTATTGTAAAGTTGAAAATGGCTTAATTCACATATTTGATAAATATTGATCGAGAGGGAATTTCATGTGCACAGTAAGCTGAATGGCGCGAAAAAGAAATCATGGAAAGGTAAGAGAAAGTAGATACTTTCAAATGTCCTCTCATTCCTTAAAAGTTGCGTGGTTCCGGCCTCGAAAGACGATCATCGTGGTGTGAAGGTTTTTTTTATGATGTATGTGCTGATGTGAGTAATGGGCTTCGCTGGATGATTTTTGTGAACAGTGGAGAAAGTGACATGTGATCGGCCACGCAGCGGTCGACTGTCAACAGCTGTTACTGGTGACAACGCACCGATCTTCACTGTCACTTTCTCCTCTGTTAACACGATTCACCAAGCGATCCGCTATAATGCATCACCATAGGAAACACTACGTCGTTTTATGTCTCGGTGATACTCCTCATTTTACAGACTAGTTTAGATTAAGGTTATTTCTCTATTAAATAGGATGATTAGTAATAAATGCCAGAAGAGGACATTATTTCCGTCCTAGTTGGAGCTTGTGTAAGGAAGCCTGGCTGAGATTGCAAGATTGGAAATTGATTCTTTGGATATTTACGAGCAAAATGATACTTATTTTCTTCAAATCCCAACCAGTCAATATTATCTGATGGAATACTGGAAGGTATATGGCAATGTGTTAGTTTTTTCATTATTGCTGTCTAACAATTAGGTCTAAGAAGTGATCGTATTTAGTACAGAAGATTAATGATTAAGACATTCTAACGTGGGAATTTCTTTAATTTTCTACAGGAAGTTGAGTGATTAGTCTGTAGCAAGACTACATCACAGTGATAATGGCCCAGCAAAGAATAGAGGAAGAGGCCAGGAAACGAGATCGAGATGGTGGGATATATGTTGGCACATCAATCTCTGAGCGGAGATCTGACTTAGTGTACGAGCAACACACTGATGGAATGAATGAGTACTTCGAGCGAGCCCTCAGTATCACCCAACCTGTGATATCAGTGATTGCACCCCAGAGTCAGCCACAAAGGGATTCTGCTCCTGGAAATCAAGAAAACGACGACGCCAGCCTGCAGACTCTGGCACAGGAAGGGAAGTTCGGACGGCAGAGCATTCGGAAGAAACTGAAGAAGTTGACCTTCCACAAGCCACGTCATCATCCCAAGTCGCAGAGCCCAAAAACAGCTGGCGGCCATAAGAAGAGGAAACCTTGGAAGTTCAAACTCAACTGCACTTTCGGCGGTATGACGAGCGAAAGCCCCACGGTGGAGACCCCAACTTGTTCCCCCTGCGTGTGTACCGGATACAAGCGTACCGAAGACCCGCATCTCGGTCCAGGAGTAGTTTTTGATTCTAATGGCGATCCTGTCCCCCCTCATCCAGTGATTGACTTATCCAAGTTCAACCCTGATGATTATCCGATCGAAGACTGTGACGAGAGGGCCCGAGCCGAGCGAGCTCGAGAAATTGCTGAAGGTGTGGAGCCACCCCCAGGATATCATCTGGTTCCCGCTGGATCGTCCCACGTTGCAGCTGCGTTCAACCCGAGCTTCTCGACCGAGACACACCTTGTCTCCTTTCTCAGTCAGCTCAATGGCGATGGGATGCTGTTCCAACGAACCGTTCACACCCAGGTGGACTATATCCATTGTCTCGTGCCAGATCTGCTGGAGATCACCAACTGCTCCTGTTACTGGGGCAAGATGGATCGTTACGAGGCCGAAAGCCTCCTCGAGAACAAGCCCGAGGGCACATTTCTCCTTCGAGACTCGGCCCAGGAAGAGTATTTGTTTTCGGTGAGCTTCCGACGTTACGGTCGCTCCCTCCACGCCCGCATCGAACAGTGGAACCACATGTTCAGCTTTGACTCGCATGACCCCGGTGTGTTTGCTTCTTCGACTGTGTGCGGTCTCATCGAACATTACAAAGACCCCAGCTGCTGCATGTTCTTCGAGCCCATGCTCACGATCCCCCTTAGGAGGAATCATGTCTTCTCTCTGCAGCATCTCTGTCGGTCGGTCATCACCAAGCGAGTCACTTACGATGGGATAAATCAGCTCCGCTTACCGAAAATGCTGAAGAGTTTCCTGAAGGAATATCATTACAAGCAACGGGTACGCGTTCGACGCTTCGAGGTTGAACATTGATGGATTTTATGTCTCCTAGCTGGAACCAAAGATGATCTGACCTCCTTTAGGTTTTACATGTTATATTTAAAACAGATTAGAGCAATATTATCCTGGAATTCATTCATATAATGAAGTATGTTCATTTTATTTGCATGATGCCTAGTGTTCAGTGTCATTGATTTGAAGATAAACGAATGATCCAATGGTTTCATATTTTTATTCAGAAACTCCTGCCATCTGTCCACTGAGAGCTTGTCTTGTTTGACTCGAGGTCTTGCACTGAATATTCTAAGGATGTTCCCTTTTTTGCGAAAACGAAAGGTTTCCCTGATGTTGCTTCAAACTTTCGTCGTGCTGCGCATGCAAAGGTTCTTGACGCATCAATTTGACAAAATTCCAACTGACGCTTTGGCAGTAGAGAAAGACCTGTGGGAATTCTTGTAGTTTCTGCATGCTGCAGATCTTAAGTAGGAAAAATCAGTTAATCCGGATGATTTTCTTTGGATAGCTCGTTGAAAGCGGTGCGCATGGATGGAAACCACTAGCAGGCGTAGGCATAGCCTACTGGTTTTGTTTTGAAACAGCAGGAACTGACTCCAGGACGAAGAAATTTCTGAAATTGTCATGGGCAAGTTTCACTGGACCAATCGTGACTCATTTGCAGGAAATTTCCATTTCAGTGTTGTTATAATTGGTCCATCATGAAAAAGGAAAGCTTGGGGATGGAAGCATAGGCGCCGACTTTTAAAAAATATTGGGGGGGCAAAAGTTCCTATCCAGGATCCATTGGGGTAGTTCAGTATTATTATGGCAGCATAGTGACGAGCGGGGGGGGGGGGGTGCTGGGCATGGCCCTTCCACCCCATACCCGTACTATGGGATCTCCCCCAGTTGGAGCTCAAAACAGAAAGGAAAATCATACTTCTCATTTCTTTCGTGAAGCAGCATTTTGTTTTCAATTTTCCATGTGCCTTTGTTGAATTGTTGCCATTCTTGGAGGGGCGTTGCCCCCTCAATAATATAGTTGGGGGGGCACGTGCCCCTTTGCCCCCCTGGGTTCGGCGCCTATGCTCCTACCACCCTGGTGGATTTTTTTCTGGTCAGTTGTTCCACATTGTGTAATGTTGCTCCTGTTTTTGAACTATCTCGTATTTCATTGCGGATCCCACAGGCACTATAATAACAGGAGTCATATTATAATTAACAACACCCACATGCGGACACGTCAGGAACGCCCACATGCGCTTCGCAGTGGGTGCTCCGCCGTTCTTGCAAGCAGACGACGAGGGTGATGCGAGACACCATGTGTCACAGCGCGCGATGCGTGGGTAAGGCCTAGGGACCCGTGGGCGTTATAAGCGTCGGAACCCTTAGTGCTTTAGGTTGGTGCAAACGTCTCGCACTCGGCAGGGAAGCAAGAAAGCTGTCACAAGCTGTCATTCCTGAAGAATCCCAGACTGAATTGTTTCAACCTAATGATCCTTGTTTTAATCCTTTCAATCCGGGTGGGACTCAGGAGTCCCGCACTTTCTTCGCAAGTGTTGTAGGGGTTACACAGGAATGAAGCCATGGCAGGATTCCGAATCTCAGTTTACGGTAGTTCACCTCGTGTTGTCAAGTTGACAGCAGTCCACAGTAATATGAAGCTGCTGTATTTCCTTCGGCACTTCAAAAATGGTGTCATCTTTTCCATGTATTTCAGCTAATACATTTCTTTCCCAGCCAATTTTTTCTATGTTTTTGCAAGCTAGATAATGGAAAGAAGTACAGGAATGCTGGGAAACATGACTTAAAATAGGGATATGAGCACTAGCTAAGCAAATTAAATATCATAATTTTTATTAATTAATTAAAAATGAGAAAATAATGTAATAAATATTTACTTTACTTAAGGAAACCATTTTAAAAGCACTTTTTATTTTATCTGAACCTCATTGAAGCCCAAAAAGTATATGACATTTTTTCAATGCCTAGAACATAATTCAGGACTGAAAACTTGGTTTAAGTTGAACATGGATGCTCTGGGATATTTTCATGCGTTTCATGTCTTTCCCTTCTTTTTAAAAAACACATGCCCTCTCTGCCCCCCCCCCCCACCCCACCCCCCGGCGCTACTGTCGCTGTTAAGGCGGGACCGCCAAGTGGCGTCCCTGAGACATCCCTGTCCAATCTGGACATTCATTGTTTCCTATATACGAGGTGTGATAAAAATTTCTGGGATTGAATTTTTTTATGGTGCTATGCTGACTCTTTCCAACTACTGATGGGTATGTCCTTCAAAGTATTCCTCTTTGGCATCTACACAAATTTTCCGATGTTTCTTCAGGTCCTAGAAACATTGCCGACGCTTATCTTTTGGAATCACCAGCAGTGCTCGTGGCGTGTTGACAATTTTGCTTCTAATGCCTGAAATCTCCGTAATTTCAACAAACTCTTCAGCTTAGGGAACAAGAAGAAATTACTTGGAGCTAAGACCGGTGAGTTGGAAGGCTTATGAAGCACGGGGATTGGTAGGTAGGTCAGAGGCCGCTGAAACTGAAAAGGAAGAAAATGTCAGGACTTTTAAAGCAGCGTTACGAACGCGCCACGAGCGCTGCTGGTGATTCTAAAAGACGAGTGTGAGCAATTATTCCAGCGGCTGAAAAAACATGGAAAATTTTGTGCTTATGCCAAAGAGGACTACTTTGAACGATATACCCATCAGCAGTCGGAAAGAGTCACCATAGCATCATAAAAAATTCAGTCTCAGAAATTTTAAATCACCCTCGTATATATGTATTTTTTTTCTTTGCTAACGAGCATGCATGTCAAATATTCTTCAAAAAATGCCGTCATGAACTGGCTGTGCAAGAAAATGGTTGCATCTCATGGTACGTCTGCAGGTTGCTTGACTGGGTGCATCCTATGGACATATTTTAAAGGGCCCAACGTTATAAAAGTGATCTATGTTGACTGATGTTAGTAGGACATGCTATCGGGATGCTGCATACCGCTGCATGGGTTGCAGCAACAGTGGAATGCTTCCATGGATATGTTCGCATGAGAGACGATGCACCACACTCAAGCGGAATAAGATTAGGACTGCATACCTAGACTCCATGAATGGTGACTTGCTGTCATGCTCCTGATAACTGGGCAAGAACTATAAATTAATGTATTCATTTAATATGATACGGTCTACAATAATTACTATTTTTCTCCTCCAGCACCCAAAGTAATAGACTAACTCCTGGGGGTGAATTTTGAGAAACTAAATAAGCTACCTAAGGTTGCAGCATACTAAGCTACAACCACATATCTGATTGGAAAGAAAGTTCTCGGAATTTCTTGAATATCCAGTACAATTTTTTTCCAGAGCATGCTANAGACGACCTGAAAACCGATTTGGCCAACTTTTTCGTAGCGCAGCCGCCAGAGTTCTATTGGAATGGCATCCATAGCTTGCATAAACGTTGGCGTGAAGTGATAGAGGCCAATGGTGATTACATTCATGATTGAGATGATTTTGCTTTTAAATAAACTGGGTTGTAATAATTATTCATGAAATTCCGAGAACTTTCTTTCCAATCAGATATTTTTCCTTTAGCCCAACAGTAAAAAACATCACTCACAAATTCATCCTCACCTCATTTCACCAGTAAGGAACAGGAAGCTGGCTTGGTGATAAATGCCTTTGATGCCTCAAGACTAAAGTTAGGTCTAGTTGAACCAACATCACTAGGGTCCCCTTTTGAGATCAATTTTGCAGATAACAGTGCAAGTTGTGGATGTGCTCCAGAAAAAAAGCAAATAAATGAAAATGGTCAATTTCCTGATTTTGGATTGTATATTGAACATTTGGTCGTAGCTAATAGGTTCACAAATAGTATTTCTCAATCAAAAAAGACACCCAGAATAATTCAGCAAAATCACAAAAAGCACTTCAAATAGGTGATGTGGGCAAAAGCTCTCATGGAATCGGCTGTATTCCCAGGTGTTTGTAGAGACAGGCTATCAGGTCTGCTTTACGAAGATGACTGTCAACTTTCACCCCTTCAGAAATCAGGAAGTCCTTCAACTGAGCGACAGTCATCTTTTCCACCTGAAAACAAGGCACATATATCCTCATGAATTCTTCAATGTTGGCAGAAGTTTTCCTCAAACCATGAGTGGGAAGAGAATTGTATAATAGGAAATGAAAGAAAAATCAAGCCATTTCTCACATATCACACATGCATATTTGTCTATCACAATATTTACACATCACCCTATGGTCAAATTAGGAAATTTTCCTGAGAAGGGTTGTAAAAGCACTTTTTACATTTGGGCATACTCTATTTCACTGGCAGAATGCATATTGCATTCCATCACAGCATAAGCCTGCTACAGCAAAATTATATACTATTATGCTAAGAAGGAAGATGCAGATAATGAGAAACTGGCAAGCTTATTTTTTTTTCTCATTCTTATTTTACTCAAGTAGAGGCAAATTAGTATTTCAAGCAGAGGCAATGGATTAACTACAAAGCAAGAACAATAACTTACATGACCATGGCGAACAGCTTCTTGGACCTCATCAGAGGAAACAGGACGTTTTGCTGGCTGGTTTGAACTTGTCTCCCCAGCTTTCCTCTTTGTTGCTCCCTTCTTAAAGGCAGCAGCCCTTACAAAGTCGATACCAGCAGGGTTAGTGAGCTTTTGAAACTCCTCCATCTGCTCACCAGCACGATGGTCCATGTCCTCCACCACAGGAACTGTTCAATAACCAAAGACTTGTCTTCCTCAGTTGAAACTTGGTGCTTGTAGACAATCAGTGCTGGAGGGTGACATTCCCTACCTGTGAGGTCATTGATGGACTCAACGCTGTCCCGATTCAGAGCTAATGCCTCAATATTACGCCAGTGAGTCTGTAATACAGGGTCCTCAAAATCATCAGGGTTGAATCGAAACCGCAACTTCTTGATCATCATTTTGGCAGCCTCCACCATGTCTTCTATCTCCTCAGTATGCATTCCATCATCCTCAGTAGACCTACGTTCTGGTGGTACTTCCCGCAAGTCATCTGTTGTGAGAATCAGAACTCCATTACTTTGATTGGAAGTAAAATTTAGTAAATTTGGTAGATGGTTAAAAAAAAAGCCAAGTTCTAGAGTACAAAAATAGCACACAAACTCAAAATCTTCAAGTAACAGCATGAGTCAAACATTCATAGGAGTTCTGGGAGTAAAGTAGATTCTGCCTAATTAAGCCCTGTTAATAGGGGGATTTTGTCTGGAATGGAATCATTACGGTAATGGAAGGTAAGTTTGCATTATTGAAGCAGTCACTAATTTTGTGGCAAATTGACCAGGAACCAAGGTGTCCCAATACAGTGGAATCCACTGTACTTTCATTTGACACAAATTTCTAGTTTCTATCTTGTTTGATACATAAAATATAAATTGTCAAAGAAAGTGAAAAATGGCAAAATTGAACTTTTCAAGTTAAATTTTCTGTTTTTAAAACAAAGTAGGCTTAACTTAGTTATTTTCATATAATAATGAAAATAAGTAAATTTTAAACCCTTACTAATTTAATTGATGAATTATTATGATTGATTTAAAAAATGGCTAGTATTGCGATGTTGTAAGACATTGTGTTATTGTCTCATTGCTCAACATTTTTATGATAATATAGAAATATTTTTTTTTTTTAGCTTTGAAAATCTATAACTTCTTTGTATCAGAGACAGAAATGAGCATCAGTGAGATCTGATTTTTAGTTTGGCCTCAGTTTTCACTGGAGCCCAAGAACATTTCTCTTACTCAAATAGGGCCAAAGATAGAAGATTGACCCATGACTTTTTCCTCAGGAGTTGAACATGGGATAGTATATCATAAAAAGTTTGTTTGCTAAAGCATTGGCATTTGGGATTTTTTTCTTTTAAGAACTTGGGGAGGTCACCATATAGAAGCCCTTAGTTAGTTTAGTAAAGTTTACTGGCATAAATACTGGAACTGGAATGTAACATGTCTTGGGCATCTTGTATTTAGAACAAATAAAAATCACACAGGTCAAATTTTTGCAATAGCAGTTGGGACCATAGGGAAATTGAAATAGATCCTTGGCCACCAAAATTACCTTCTGTGTGTGCTGAAACTTGAACAAAATCCCATTCCTAGTATTCACACCACTTATTATAAGTCAATAAGCCAATCTAAACATACTGGCAAATGGGAGAGGAATCACATGGAATCCTGGAGGTATCTGTTGAATTCCTTGTGGATTGCACACCTCTTCCTGAGGGATGAGGGCAACCAAACGAGCACTTACTCCCTTGCGAGGCACAAACCAACAGATGGCAACAACATCTTTTGCAATGCATTGGTTCATGAGAGCACGAAACAAGCATGTGCTACCTATAAGGGGACATAACATAAAAGATTCAACTCAGTAGGCACTAACATAGAGTAACTTGAAAGATTACATCTAACAGACAATTAAGTACCTTCTTTTGAAAGGCCTTGACATTTTTTACTGCAAGTATGTAACATCACTAAGAATTTCAATGACCTAAGAATTTCAATGTCCATTATGGCATATGTGCAAACTCTTTATTAAACTGAATGCCTAGCAATGTCACCAACAATCTTGCAAATCATACCAGGAGATTTTGGTTAATGTATTTCCTTTATACGATCTGTTTGTGGGCTTGTCACACAATTCTCAAGCTTTTTCACTCATAAAACCAATGCCTAGTTATTGAAATACAGTCACATGTTCCATATAAAAAAAAATGTAGTCAAATACTCAGCAAAACTGTTTCAAGATCATGTAATACTATGCACAGGAATATACATGCATAGGAATTCCTATTCCAATACCTTTGACAGTTTCCTCATCAGGATAGATGAATGATGCAGGATGTACATAATGTTCTGCTTTCAGATCAGCCTTAGGCCTGAATCCCACAAGACGAATCCCTGGAGGCATTACTTCTTTCATATGGCGAGCATCATCCTACAGGAAGCAAAGTTGGACACTTGCTGTTTCTTATGAATAGAATTTGAATGAGCTCAGCTTACATGGTACTCATCATAAGCACACAACATAACCTCATTGCCAGTATGCACAAGCAGATCAACCAGAGCAAGATATAGCATATTTCACCTGATTACAATCAATTAAGTTATGAGCAGGTTTTACTCCTCAAAGATGTATTGCTGATTGCCAGGTGTTTAAACTTTAGGACTGGAAACTCAGCATCCAGTAATGTGTTCTAGAGAGATCCTTTGTATACACTTCATGTATTCCTGTTTAGAATGGATGAGATCTAGAAGGTACAGTTTTGCAAGATAGATGTCTGTCATGCTTTAAGAGGAAGAACAAAAGAAAAGACTATCTATTGCTTGGTCCCCTATATAGGCCACATGAAAATGTCTGACTAGGCTTGTAGGCAATTGATTGACCAATAACTCTTGCCTTTACCCACCCCTTGAAAATTCCAAGATAGCATTAAGAACTTCTTAGGAACATTTGAAACACCACTTGTATAAAAATTCATCTGGGGAAGGAAATTAAAGGACTCAGTCTTCTTCTAACTAATTACCAAGGGATGACCAAAGTCACAATGGGCTGTGGTTAGATTTATATATTACTTAGATGAACATATGAAACTTAGATTTATATGTTACCCCATTTAGCATTACTAGGTCAGGAATTGAACATCCCTACTCTATGAGATCATGAGCCCTATCAACATTTTCACTCCTCCACTTCAGCATTTTTTAGGATATAGGGTGCCAGTGCCAACACAACAATTAGATTTGGAATTTTACAGCTGGATGATACTACATTGCAGAGCACTAAAAAATAGTATTTGCTGTGATGTCATTCAAAGGAAGAGGTAAGACTGGATTAAGCCAAATAATTACAAAAATTTTAGTAAGATCAGTATTACTTTTTTGCAATCTCTTACGCATAAACTAGTTCTCACTCCATGCAAACATGTGGCCAAACTGGCCAAAAGAATTGGAACCCCCCCAGCCAAGTATAATGTATTCTCCCAGCTTTGAGGGAATGCAAAATGGGTTGATCACATGACATCATACAGTCTGTTTAGCCCAACCTTGCTATACCCTAAATCTTCAAAGGGGTTATTAAATGTCATCTGTTTTCCTCCACTAGAAGGGAAGAGAAAGACTTTGCCTTTCATCCCTCTGTGAGACAATGGCATGTGGCACTTGGGTATCACATATTAATGGTTTAAAACTCTGTTAAATGTTTATTATTAACTAGTACTTCTTTGCAGAAAATAGCTGTCTTAGACTTAAGTCTGCCATTGATAGCCTCAGAGCCACTTTTTGAGGTGGAAGACACCACCTGCTTTATAAGCTACCATAAAAGAGGTAAGGCAAGATTGGACTGGATGGACAGTATGTTAACCAATGACAGGTATTAATACAGATAACTTGAGCCATTCAAGCTGTTACTGCAGCTTGTGGTGACCTAACATGCTATTAAGTCGGGATTTGTGTTATTTGGGCCTGTGAAGTGTATATTCCACAGTTTACATTTTAAATCTAAGTAAACAGCAATTTTCAACCAAACACAAGACTGCCTCTGAAGTCTGCTGCATCAATAAAGAGAACTACAAAAGCAAAAAGGAGTACTTACTCGTGAGAATTTTATCCGCCTTCCCCCATACTCCTGAAACTTCACCACATCTGATGGCAAGAGGAATTCACCAGTATCCTGTTATGTGGCATCAAAACATCACTGTTGTAAATAAGCCAACAGTTGTTGAACTATATCAGCACAAATAAATGATACTCACTTCAAGAAATGACACTGTTCTTGTCCTCAACTCATGATTTGTCTCTCGTTCCAGTTTGACTGGTCCTGGCTTTCTCATACGCCTAGTAAAATAAAAGGCACCAGTGTCAGGAATGGTACAACAATGGGATATGGAAAACTAAGGCTATAACATTCTAGCCTCCTTAATGAAGATGACCCAATAAAAGAATGCTTGACTAGCTAATGTCTTTATTCAGGAAATCCAATGGTCATGGGATTTTTAAAATAATACAAAATTTGCCTCATTCAAGAAAATGATTAAATTATTTCAGTTCCACATAACATACACAATCTATAAACCCATATAAACGTCAAATAATCATTATTACTTCAGCTTTAGACATGCAAAAGTGGACACTAAGGGCATTTTTATTAGAAATGTCAATGCTGACCAGTCTACCTTTTCCCCACAATGAAGGTTTTGTGTCAAAATCTAATTAAAGTATAAGATTATCTGTAGCAAAACTTGCAAGCTGTCAAGGGCAGTCACACATGGTAAAATTGAGAGTTTCCTTGAGAGCTGATGTGTCAGCATTGTAGAGGCTAGGGTAGTCCATACATCATATTATAATTATCAGAGTCCCCAGATTTTTCCAGACCACCATAAATCAGAACTCCTGACTTGCATGAAGTTCAATGTTTTAGAAAGATAGGACCAAATAAAAGTTCCAAGGGAAAAATAATAATAATTAAATTCAAACACTAGCAAAGAAGCTTTTGTCCCATAAAATCTTCAGCAAACAAAAGTTTACAGGTTGCCTACCATGAACTTCACAACCAATATCATATTGAGAAATTTTCATGAATACTTAATGATTCCATCATTAAGATGAAGCCACCAGGAATCATGGTAGTGATGCATTGTTCATGGTATTTTCCTTGTTGCTACTGAAGAAGGTGAAGATACCTTTGCATAGGATTATGCTAATGAAAATAGACCATTTCAAGTACTTGATTTTTTTTGTCACTTATAACACATTCACTACCATCAAAAACTTAAGTTGTTTAGGTGAAGCATTAATAACATGATCCCCTTAAACACTCAAATTCTGATAGGTTCGAAATTGGTATAAATTTGCTCTAAAGGGCCAATATTACCCCCTCACTATTTTTTTAAATTTATTTAACCAAAGTCACCTAAGACTTATAACTATTTTGATTAATATTAGCATTTAATTATATATAAATGATACTTACTTCAAAGTTATTACATACTATTAAAACTGATCAAACTGTTGGGTTAGGAAGAACTTCCCAGAGTTTCTTTGAGGCTAGTTTGCTGGGAAGAGATCAATTTTACAATTAAATTGACAACAGAATGAAGCTTCTATTATTAAAAAAAATTAAATAAATAAATAAAAACTTCAAATTAATGTGAATACTATTGAGGGTAAGGGCAGTCAGGGTTCATGCTGATGCTCATGTAAGCATTGACCTTTATTTATATCAAATTAGGTATCACATAGCTGTAGCCCTATGTAGCATGACAACAGCATAGTACAAAAGGAATAGAGAGTTGCTCTACTATCTGATGATTCCTCATGATGAAACATAAAAAAACAGGCAATTTCTGCAGTTGTAATACTCCAATGTTCCCTTGGATACAATAGATGGCATTGTGGACATTCTCAAGAGATTACAAGAACCATTGAAAATGGACCAAAAGAAGGCAGGCAAAGAAGGGAAGGTCAATGGAGTTTGAACTTTTGTACCCTTGGGCAACTATTCATTTATAGCCGATTTGAAATTCATGTCTGCAAGTCTTTTATCAATTGAAGCATCATTTCCTTGCTAGAAGCTCTACTGGAAAATAGTTCAAAGCTACAAGACTGGCATTGTCCACATGATCAGAATGATCAAGTGGACATATGATTAATTATTTTCTCTTCAACAGAAAACACAGTCAGATAAAAAGGTGGTGTCACTTACATTCAAATATTATCATGATTAACCCTTCAAGTAGTTTTCACGTACACCGTACAATCATCACTTAAGTCATGTCAAAACTCAGCATTTGAAGGGTTAAGAAACAGAGGTGACTTCCTTTTTATTTAAAAGGATTGGCTGAATGGAAAAAGGGTATTTCTCATCTTACTATTTCAATTGCTTGATTGAGAATTGAGCAGGCATGTGGTCAAACCTCATGAAGTTATACAACCAGCATATCCAATTTCACAAAGTCATACAATCAGTACAAAGATTGTGTAGATGGCCCTAATGAATTCTGCTAAATCAAAAAGAGCAGTTCAGTACTTAGTTCAGTACTCCACTACTTCAGTATTTATTAGTAGAGGGTAAAAATCTCACCTTGCAAGCATGTAGTTGGTGACAGCCATCTTGAGCTGTGGACCAAGCTCAAATCGAAGATGGCTAACAATGCGCTTTTTGTGAATGCGCCGTTTGATTTGAGAAAGGAGTTCCTCAAGTCGTTCAGATATTTGGGCATGTGCATACTGCTGATCTTCAGGTTCTTGTACAATGGTCTAAATAAATAAAATTAAAAAAACAATTATGTACACGTATTCATATATTCCCACCGATCTCTGCCCAAAAAAAAGGATAACAATAAATCTTTTACAAGATGGGATCATGAGCTTTCAATACCCCACAATCTACGTTTCATTTCCATCCTACCTTTTCTCTATTGGACAGTAAGAAAGTGCAGAACTCACATTATAGAACTGGGAGTGGTTGAATCCCTTTCCAAGAGCCAACAACTCAATGTGTATGCCACTCTCCCGCAGGTCCTCAGCCCTCATTCGAGCTTGTCTTTGTTTCTGAGGATCACTGGCATGTGGATCATCATTCCTTGTGAAAATCATGACTCTCCTAGTTGCAAATTTCATCTTGCTGTTAGGGATGTCATAAAAGAACATTTGAGAAGTCATCCAGTGTAATCTAAAGAACTTTCCATTGAAACAAAGAATGAATCGCAACTAGGCTCCCCCCCCCCTCGATCTTTACATTCTTCTGAGGACACAGTAATGAAAGGGGATCTCCACAGCATGGGTAATTCATAGAAACTTGGTTGGTTGGTTTGTCAAAAGAGGTGAACATATACCAATCTTCAAGGCTGACTGACTGGATGTGAGCAGGAAAGAGTGACTTTTTTGTTACAACAGCAAAACCTTGTTTGAAAACTAAGCCCTCAGGGACAGTGTGCTGGGTCCAATGAAAAGTATATGTTATATTCCTCACCTTAAACCCAGAAATTTGTGTCAGACCTTTACACTTGTGGGGGACCAAGTGCAAAATAAGTAAGGCTGTCTCCCACTCTTATTAGTGATAGATGTAATAATAAATCATCCCACACACCAAAACTCTTCAAATTTCCTTGGAAACAACTTCCAGAGCAAGGCAAAACATCTGCAAGTTTACTACAATCAGGAATCGTGCACTGACTTTGCCTTCCTGGGAAACTGATACATGCATAGCAGTAACTAAATCGCAAGTCCATTTTAATTAAAAGGCAAAAAGGAACATGAATTAAGTTGCTTGGGAACAGTTTTTTCTCCAAGACTCTCCATTAATTTGATGTTGCCCAGGATGCAATATTTTGAGTTGGTCTCTTTCTTCAAGCTCTTTTAACAACTTTTTTTTTTCAGGCTAATCAACTCACAGTTGTCAGCATACAGCCTACATTAAGAAAAAGGATTAAGAAAATCATGCAAGGAGTTATACTTTGAAGATCAGCAATTTCAACTAATACTGAATTGTAGAGGAAAAATAAATTATAAACAGGGCTTTAGAACTACTCCTGACAGTCCCTTAATGCCACAAAGGGAGTGAGAGAGAAGTGTATGATGTCATAATCCTAATCATTGGGAAGTGGCATATAGGGAACATGGATATATGATGATCTAGATTGAGAAATGAAAATGTTTCTAAATTTTGGAAAAAGGCTAATTTCAAAATTTCAAGAAATCAAATTGGTGTGAAAATTTTGTGCAAAACTGTAGTTCATCTCCAATGCTCTAGATTATTAAAGTCTCTGATCCCTTGACATAGGCACTTTCCGATGAGAAGGAATTAACTTGCAATACAAGAGCATATAGCAGAATGAACTAGGATTTTGCTATTAAGGGCAGCTAAGCAAAAGATCACACAATATCACAACTGCAATATCAATGAAAATTTTCAGGCTGTTTAAGGCTTTCCATGACATGAAAGTTACATGCATGATAGTAGGATCAACCTACAGTCACAAGGATCAGACTCCCGATGGCGATCAGATGGCAAATTTTCATCAGTGCTATATTTGGTGATACTGAGTTATTACTCCAGCCATACTTGTTGCAAAACTGAATTACTTCCAGATGCAGCAACTCTTAAAAATAAGTCCACTCTAGAAAAAATTAGTCTTAATTCAAATAAATGGCCTGCAACTTTTCTTTGATTTATAATTGGCAGAAACTAGCCATCGTTTTGGTTAATCATTCTGGGTCATAAGTTCACAAGCATCAAGAAACAGAGTCATCACATTTTGGGTAAAGACTAATGAAACACCTATGAAGCACCTTCCTGAAGTGGAATACCATTCAAGTTCAAATGGGGTTAATAGGAAGCATGCCTTTACTATGTGAAGAAGATATTCATAACCACTGAAACTTCAGTCACAAGCAGCAAAAAGGGTATGGTGCCAGCAGCAGATTCACTCACGAATTATTAAACATGTGTTGACAAATCCAGAGAGCATCGCTGAGAAGAAAAGCTTGAGAATGTCCAAACTCATTTGCCAGTTTTTTTACATCTGCAAGGAAGAAGAAACTGGGAGATGAATATAACAATACAATGGACATCAACAGTATCACGATTCACATGTTTTATATCCAATCCATATGAAAAGAAATTGACTATTAAGCTGTCACAATCAACAACTGAAACTCAACTAAGTCAAGGTCAAATCTCAGATACAGAAGGCCAATTTATGATATTGGTATATAGGCGATTCTAGCATATTGCCCTCAAAATGTTTTGCAACACTTTTGTGATCAAATTTCTCACCCAATTAAGCACCAAGAGGAAAGTATTTACTTCATAGAAAATTGCTGTTGTCTACACAAACCATCCAATTATTGTTTTTCTAAATTTTCCCTCTAAACCTATCTGGTTCAATAAAACAATGGCAGAAACATTGCTCCATCCTGCCTCCTCAGGTTGGCAAGACTGAATATCTTCATGATCCCACACTTTTTTTTGAACCCCTTAAAGCAATTAACCATATATTCCCTAACTTTACAATGATTCCTTCATTTTTGCATGGCAAAGTAAGTGGTAAATGATGAAAATAAGTCTCAGGCATAGAGTTTACTCAATTTTAAACTCCTATTACATTTAACCGTCTTAGTGCCATGAGCAGATGTTCCACCCACACCCTGGTTGTGCAAAAATCGCCATGGGCCTAAATTTCAGCCACAAAATTTTTGCAATGCTGGTACCAGGTAGGGCTGAGAGAGGGGAGTGTGGGGCATATTTAGTAAAATTCTATGATTTCAGTGAAAAGATGCATGGAATTTTCAACCTCCCTCATCAGAAAGCATGGCACTAAGTGTGTTAAACCCTGTTAATGATAAGACCAGAGTGGAACTAGGCTTCTAGTCAGAATGGATAGTATACAGTTTTCCATGCTTAAAGAATGAACAAGACAGATCCTGAGGCAAAGTTTAGAGCAAGGACAACATGAAATATGGTATTAATAGGTTTTGCATAGGTAATGCTATCTGAAGACATAATTTTTCCAGTTGATCCTACAGTGCTCAGAATTTTGATTACAAAGCAAGAAATTTGAAGGGCAGTAAATGAAGGTGCTAGTTAGAGTACCATAACATGAGTTCAGTTGACTCCATTCTACAATATTAACTTTTTTAATTTTCAATTTTTTCATCATAACTGTAATCTCTATCTGCTCAAAAGATGGATAACATTAAACATCTCAGGAAAAAGCTTTCAAATTCATAATTGATATTCATGATTGAAATTAATGGTAACCTGGAACAGTAAACACGTAGTGTGAGATGAATCCACCTTTAAAAGTTAGATGCTTCATACAGAAATAAGAGGTTAAAAACTTGTATACATTATTTATTTGATGTTAATTTATTTTTTAGTCTTCTTTAAAAAGTCAATCTTGATAGCTTGCAATGTTGTTCTGCATATCTTTGAGGTAAACAGTGGATTCCACTTTATTAGGATAAAAGTTAATAGGTTTATCTGGATATTTTGTCAGGAACTGAACAATTTCTAGGCAAGTGCATTTAAATTTTGCAGTATATTCCTGTCAAGAAACCACTCTATTGGGACAAGGTCAGGTGAATTTAAGCCATTGGTTCCAGATGGATTTTTCATCCTCTCTCTCACTCCTCCAAGCTGTATGCTTTGTGGTTAAGAAGTGCCAGTATCAATCTGTGAGGAGGTTTGACTATTCCTGATATGATTGGAGAAGCCTTTGTCAACATCGAAAAAATGTAGTGTTTCACCAGACACAATGACTTTGAGGACATCATTGCCAAGAGGCCTCACTTAAAGGATGATGGAAATGAAGAGGCTGAGATTTTACCAAGACAACTCACAGAGGTTGGGTGCTCAGTGGACATCCTTCAGCATTACTTTATTGAGCTGGATTGAAAATTGTGCTGAAGAGGTATTTAAAAAAGCCTTTTCAGGCATGAAACAACCAACTATGGAGGCATGGAGGTGAGATGTTATTTTCGTTTTTCACAAGAAAAGGGCATTCGCATCTGAGTTTCTTACTATACTTAAGGTAAGTTCACATTATTGGGGCAAATTGACCTGGAACCAAAAGTCCCAATAATGCAGAATCCAATGTATCATCATTTTTCAGCTGCTTCAAAGCTGGTTCCAAGCACTCTGGAGAGTAGTTTTAGTAGGGCCTGGTACCAATCTTTTGTTTATATTTTTGCTGCATGTCTAAAAGGTCAAGGCACTAATTTAGACTTATATAAACTAAAAATGTCATACAAACTTTGATAGTTACTTGAAATGTATGCCTAGAACATTAGATTTCTTTATTCTGGCTCTGCAGCTTAATAATAAATTGGATTCAATTTCACCCTGTTGCCAAAAAAAGTAAGATCAAAGGGAAAAATAAAGGAATATGTGGGTAATTTTCCATAAGAAATAATGCATTGCTGACCATCTGATGAGACTTGAAACAACTTACATTTGGCACTGAAAATTCAAATATGAAAATTTTCCCTCCAAAAATAGACTTGTTTGAGCATAAAATACTTGATGACATAATAGTTATTTATAATTTTTTATTATTAAGCTTTTTAATATAATAATATGAAATGTGTCAATTTCAACTCAAAATACTTGAGAAAATGGGATGTCTCACCTAGGAATGACTCAACCTTCTTAATGCTATCAGCAGAAGGGCAGCTCAAATCCACAAGAACAAGGACATGCTCAAAATTATATATGTTCTTGGACTTCTCTGTCCCAAACAGGACAACACCAACCAAGTCTGAATCACTGCTGATGATCTTATTCATCAATGTCCGCTTGACACACTACAAGTATAAGAGATTAACATTTTGCATGATGGACAAAAAACAACTAAGAACTGCTCTTAAATAATATACTTACAAGAAAGAATTGGAGTCCATTGAAAAAAAATGCATTAAAATATTTTGGAAGAGTGAAGGGCAAGAAGTCTTCAATCTGGCTTTCTACCATGGGCTTGAATAACAACTGCCATGTGTGACCACTGATTGAACTGGGAAAAAATTTTGGGGAGAGAGCATCATAGACCCCACAGGCTCTAGAAGTAGGTCATCCTTTATATGCTACAAGTGTCTCACAGAGTAATAAAAAATATGTACATCAGGTCCTTTAGTGGACAATCTATTCCTCTATTCTATTCTTTGGTAGAACATATGCAGTAACAAAACCTATGGAATATGGCACTGTCTTGCTGGAAGTAGAACTAGAGAAGAAATTAGTAAAAAAAATGTGACTATGAGTAAGCATGATTAACATTCTTGTGATTCAGCAATTTGGTACCCCTGTGGAAACATCCAGAATTAGTGGGATTCTCAAGAAAACATCCAAAAGTGGTGTTATCTTACACAAATTTTTGAAAAAGATGATAGTCATGTTTATGCATGTTCAGAATTATGAAAGAAATATTGAAATATTTTAAACCTGACTTGATGAAGGATTGCACTATACAAGAGGATTCTTATAAAAGGATTCCAGCTCTCTCTTCTTGTGAATAAATGGAGCATCTAGCTTAGCTTTTTTAAACCTCCCATTTGCTTCTTCATTTCTCTTAGGCTGCATTAAAGTAATTGGATGCAGAAGCCTGCCCATATCCAACCATTCAGAAGCATATTGGTATTATCTTAAAACTCTGGCATCTTGGTTCTTTTCTATTGCAAACTATATTCAAAACATCTGGGTTTCAGACACCTTGAAGTGCTCTTTAAAATACTAATCCAATGATAAATCTGCTTCACACCTCATCACTCCTATTTGACAATTACTGCTCATGCAGCTGATCCTACAAAAAATTGAAGATGGGCTTAGAGCTATAAATTATGGGGATCTACATGTTCAGTTATAAGGTTAAAGTCAGAGACTTGCTGAAGTGCTTCAAGATAAAAAGAGTGTCTTTCTATTATGGTACCAGGTTTGCAGGCAACTAGGAGTTAATCAGGCAGATGAATGATGGTGATCCAAACTGCCTCTTTGTAACAGCTGAGGGCAAAACACACTGAAATGTAAACTGCTTCTTCTGATAGTAACATAGGTCTACTGATTGATGATGGGTAGCCCAGGGGCTACCCATCATGAGGAGTCAAGCAAGTCTCACTCAATCCTAATAATCCAGAGAGAGTACAAAAAAGTATAAGAATCACCCCATGAACCTTCATGCCTTGGAAAAGAGATGATTATTCAAAGCACCTTAACAAGTCTCTATATATGTTCCAATAAGAGCTAAGATTGAATATGAAGGATTGATTAATTATGAATGATAATTTGAATATGAATAAGTATAAGAATAATATATGCCTGGCTATAATTGTGAGGCGCAACCTTCAGACTTATTCAATTAATAACAGATCTAGGCCACACAAACCAGACTTGAACTCAAGAAGAAATAACACTCATATAGCCTATTGCACCATGAGTGAAATACATTGCCATACCTCCAAGCATTGCTTGATGGCTTCATCTGCTCCAGATAACAAGGGTTCAAACATGGATGCAGTGGCATCCAGAAGGAATACAAGTCCATCTCTCCCATACAATTTTGTCACCTCCTCTTCACCCTGCTCACCATCATCTTCATCTCCCAATATTTGTGATAACTGCATACCTCAAATTGGCCTTTGCAGTACTGGGACAAGAGATACATCAGTTATTGTGTGGATGGCATGCTAATGATAGGGGTATGAAATTACCAAAATACATGTTCTATGGTAAGCAGGTAAGGATATTCAGCCAAGTTTTCCCATCAGTCAAGACTCTTGCGTAATTTTTATGCAGAGGCCAAAGCTTCTTTAAGGCTTTTGAATTGCGCTCTGAGCTATCATGTGACATACACGTAACATACCTCATCACAGCAAATTCGGAACGGATACTAGCGTTTAGCGAAAGTCTCTTAGTCAAGGAGCCGATTCAGGAAATATCCTTTCCAAAAAATATTTCAGGACAATATCACGAACTGGTTAGGCTACTCTATATCACGTTATATTGCGATTCCATGTGATGTATATTTCCCGCTCGTCCACTGGGTTAAAGTTAATTCCACGGCTCGCATATCATGAATGTCCATAGAATCGTCATGGGCAGTCCTAGAGAAAGTACGAACTGGAAGTTAAATCACTGCTAACATAGGAAATCGAAACCCGCTCCATGCGATCGAGCGAATCGCCATCATTGCGAATTTGTGACAGGGTTGCCTTATATCTGGGAGATACCCATCAAAACAGATTGCTGTACCAGTGAGATGGCGAGGCTCTCCCACAAAACCGCAACCTGTCGCTGGAGGTTTACAAAAAATTTGAAATCAGGCTCTTGATCGGCATATAGTGCAGGTACGCAGAGTAGAATAACAGAACAGAGCTGGAAACGTATCCTGTAAAATTTGGCATCCTTGGATGTGCTGTGAGCCCTGGCCATGTGCGTCCTGATTAAGTCAGGAAGACCTATCCTTAGGGCCATAGGCGGCGATTTGTTGATAAGTTTGGGGGGGGGGGGGGGGGCTCAGAGGCAGTACTCCAAGTATTCCTTATTCTTCTGCCAAATTTTTGTTTGGAGGGTCTCGAGCCCCCTGAGCCCCTATGAATCGCCGCCTATGCTTAGGGCTGTTGCATTCGTCCCTAGGTGAAATGCTCCCCCCCCCCCGGGTCTTTATGCTGTGAGGGAGAGGAAGTGAGTGCTAGAGTGATTGAACTGGTGGGAAAAGTTATACCTTTTACTCTTTTTTTTTAAATATAGTCTCTATTATGGGAGGTTTTCCGTAAAACTCAAGTGGCACAAAGGTAGTGGGCCATAGGCGCAAGGTAGAATATATTCTGATCAGTGAAACAATCAGCAGATGACCCGCTGGCTGGCACAGATGGTGGGCCACTAGCTCCCCAAGTGGCCCATTGCCTACATTTTGGAAAGAGAGCTGGTGTCCCATCAACTTCTCTGGATTGTGGGCCATCAGGTACGTGTCCCACTTGCCAGGACTTGTCTGCCACCATCCGGGCTGTTAAAGGGCCAGCACATTACCAGTTAGTTCGTTTGTGGTGTACCACCAGCTGGGAAGGGTCCTAATGCCTTCATGTATATCCGATTCACCTATTAATCTGGCCTCTAGAGCCTATTTCTGAGTACCCAAGAGTACCAAGATGACCCAATGCTCTCTTTTTCCGCATCCAATACGGAAACCTGGAAGGGTAAGCAGAAGTGTACGAGTACGAAGACATTTCATATACATTATATGTTATCAGAAAGCTTAGGGTGGATTTCTGAACAGAGGACTGTCCAATAATGTTGCATTATTTCCAGGATATATAAAGTATTTCCCCTGGAATGAAGCTCTCTACCCTCCCTTAGTCCTATGAATTCCCCTACTTAACTCCAACATTTAATCATTCTCCTAGTCTTATGTTGTAATCAAAACATTTATAATTCCACGCTTTCCTAGTATCTGTTTATAAATTGCACATTAAAAAGAGGAAAAGCGAGAAGAAACACATTTGCTAAATCAGGAAGGCAGGTACTTCGTTTGCAGGGTGCAGGGAACGGGGGTACCATCTAGTGGGGAATCTTGGTACTGCATCTAGAGGAGTGCCAATTACATGCGGTACCCTGAGCTGGTGAAGGACCACCAGCCAATAGGAAGCGGCCCGCCATTGCATGTCCCACCCCAGGTAGAAATCCGCCAATGTAGTGCCTGGGCCGCTTACGGCCCACTACTTTTACGCTACTTGGCGTCTGCCCTCCCCCCCCCCCCGTCTGTTCCTCTTTGTCCCTCCTTTGACGAAACCCTGGCTACGCCGCTGATTTTGAGTCACTCTTAAACCCACTCCGACGCACCAAACTCGACGCCATCTAGCGCGGAGGTTAGTCCCACCATAAACTTTTGAGTAGCGGGAAGAAGCGAAATGTCCTGAAAAGAAATTCCAGTAGGGGCACTGATGGCAACGGGCACCGATGGTTGCTCGTGGCTGCTGAGAGATACGATACGATATCCCCCAAAACGTCATTTAACACGAGTAACGTCTTACCTTTGGGTAATTTAGGCGCGAGCGGCTTTACTCCGGTTTGACCTTTAGCACCTTTGAAATCTTGATATGGGAGTGCTGCGCCCTCGGCATGGGGAAACAAACGCTTGGTTCGTTTCGATTTCAGGTTCCTGCCATGGGATTAAGGTCACTACCAACCGAGCCACTCACTTGCCTACCTGAAACCAAGCTAAGCCGTATGGAAATCGCGTACCGTACCTCTGGACTATTAGACCGGTGTGGCAGTTTTTATGAAGAGAGGATTCGATGGATTTCACGAATCACTATGGAATCTCCCTCCTCAGCGTAAGTGGGCTGCAAATGTCTCGTGGACCTGAAAAGAGCGAACGACTGTGTGCTTCTTTGTGTAGTTGTGGGGGGCACTGCGGGAATATGGGATTAACGCTCAGCCACTGTACGTCATTTCGTCTTCCTTTAGCAATTGTAGTTGTATTGGAGTGCAAGATACATTGATTGGAGTGAGCGAGAGGAGCGAAGGACTCGTCGAGTCTATGCGAAGGGCTCTGGTATGGTTTCGCTCTTCGTGTTCGTAGTCAGGATCTCTTAAGCAGAAGCATCAAAGCGCGCCGGATCGGTTCCACTCTGAATGCAATGCGGCTGAAATATTGGAACCTGCCATAACCGACTCATAAGTGGTCCTCCCGAGAAACATTGGGCCCCACACAGCATAGGTATATCCCAAAGATATCCCCTTGGGACAAGTGCGATGTCCCAGAGACTAGGAGAAGGGACATCTTAGGGATATCAAAATGTCTTGGCGTAAAGACATCCCAAGGAGTCTCTTTCTTGCAGCACAAGTACATCCGAAGGATGTCCCAGAGATATCCCCTTGGGACAAGTGAGAAGTCCCAGGTAGTACTTGCAGGCGCCTATCCGCAATGGGTTTATTTACTACCGCACAGGAAAACCCATTACTTTCGAAGATGTCTCTATATGATCTAGGAACACTTACTCTTAAGTTCTTGACCGATTGAAGAGTGACGATTATGGAGGAAGAAAATCATTTTCCTAAAGAGGGCCCCATCATAGGAAACACATCTCCAAAGAGCGAAATTGAGCACCTTTACACGAGGGGACGTGGACGAGATGATTTAGCCTTTCATCTTTGGAAAAGTACGGGCTCAGGCCTCCAACCAAAATAGTTGTATCCAGACATGCCGATCACTCATCATTAAATAGAATATAGCTGAATAAATTAAAATTCGGACCGCAATTTTTTCACTTTCTCTGGTGGCAATTTTCCTGATGAACGGTACGAAAATCCTTACTTATCCTCAGGACAAATCAAGTAAATAAATTTGATAGAAAATATCAGAGGTTGCAGATCAGGGCTCATGGGAGACATCTACCGTCGAAACTATGCATCTGACTGAAGGCGACAAAGAGTAATGAAGGTGCCTAGAGACATCCCTAAGATATCCTCCTCAATATATCGAAAAGCGTTCGACTGAAGATGTCTTCAAGATATCCCCTCCAGGATATCCAGAACCTTTCTACTAAGGATATGTTAAAGATATCCCGAAAGGAATATCTTTAAGATATTGACTGAAGATGACTGAAAGACGTCTCTTATATGTCCCGAAGACATCCCTTACGAGATGTCCGAAAGAAGATGTCTTCAGTATATCCTATAAAGACCAGGGGACAAGTCGTCCAGTCAGTGGCGTAGGCAGAAAATCGGCAGGGGGGGGGGGGTTGAGGCCAGGTGGACACCCCAACCCTACGCTTAGATCCACCACCCGGAGTTTACCATTTTGAAGAAATCATGGTCAGGCATCTTGGGTCTGCGGATGGACATTGGACTTTCCTCGAAGGGGGATAGCTAAAACTGGAATTCCCAAGGAAGGCTGAAATATGCCTGTCTATCACTGACCAGGAAGCCCAAGGGGGGGTTCTGACTTCCTAAACCCTTCCCTACGTCACTGTGTCCAGTTAGGGACATCCTCGGGATATCACTGTGCAGTGTGGGGCAGTACACTGTTTTCCGGATTGAATTGGTACCCCCCCTCCCCCCTAGGAGCGCTTCCATCAAGTACAGGCAGGACACCTTGTGGATGGAAGGTGAAGTATTAATAGAAAATCAGTGCATCCAACAACCATGTGGAGCATCAGGCTTGACATCTTGAGGATTGTCTGGAAAGCTTGTGTTCTCACCGTTCTCCACAGTAGGGGGGTACCAATTCAATCCGAAAACAGTGTACGTCCAGCTTCTCGGGGATCCCCACAGGAGCAAATGATGCTATCCTTTCGGTCATTACGGTATCCATGAACGTTGTGGCATGTATTATCTCTATAGTTAATAGGCAAGAATAGCCTATTAACTATTAACATAATTATGAGAGCCTTTTCTAAATATGTTGATTAGTAACACATCAATAAAATGTCCTTGAACTTGGTGACTAAAGACATGATGGGCCTTATGTGGAAGACAGGTCCGGATTAAAGGGAGAGGGGGGCAAAGGGGGCTGTTGCCCCCCCCCCCCCGACGGAAATAAAAACGTTAAATATTTGCATAAAGTAGCTGGGAGGGGGTTAGCCTCAAGAATCCACTTGCCCCGGGCCTCGCAACTCCTTAATCCGGCTCTGGTGGAAGAACATTAC